CCGTGCCAAATACAACAAAAAAAAAATTGGGCTTGTGCGCATTATGTTAGGGCTTTAAAGGAAGTTTTGTGGACCGGGCGCGTTTAATGCTTCCTTTGTGCATGACATAGGGCGGTGTATTTATTCTTCACTACATCAACAAATAAGGGGGTCGTACGCGTGCCCCGCGGTGGAGCATGGAATATAATGATGTGTATATTGTGGAAAAATAAGAGTCGCATGAATACCCTAGTATTCTAATAGCTCTAATTGAAGGAATATACATGCAGGGGAGGATTATGCCTACATCGGGATTGCACGGGCTTCCGGGTTTATGCATGTTGGGGAAGAAATTGGTACGTAATAGAGTATAGATGTGGACAGGGAGCAAGGAAGGGTGAGGGAGGCAGGAAACGATAACTGTTGGTCCATTTTCCACGCGGTAATGTTTGTGCGTGAGCTTGTGCGTTGTGTGTGCGCGTTGTGTGATTGTGTGCGGTTTTGTGCGCGCTTACCTTCCAAAGGGAATAACCAAGAAGGGCGACGGTGACGGCAGTGACGACCAACAGGATCGGAGTAGTGGCGGTCAGGACCGCGGCGGTTAGGTCGGGAACTAAGGGGCCATTATCTGTCGGCTCAGCCGAAGGTTCTGTTGGGGAACCGGAAGGTCTGGGTTCTCCTGCAGGTGGTACAAATCCTTGTGCGGGGCTGTTCCCGTGTGCGTTAATATCGAGAGACCAACGGAAGCCGGCACCCTGTTGCTTATCATCAGAATATAGGTCTGGGTTGGACATCTTATCAAGGGATTCAATGTCAACTCCAACAAAGTTCCAGGCGCCTCCGTCTACTGCGGTGTTACCTGTTTCACCTTTTAGACCCGCGGGACCGGTGTGCCCCGAAGACCCTGCTTGCCCGTTCGTTGGAACCTGCTCAGCACTGCGTTCCTTGGAATCCTTCTCTTGTGGTGGTGGTTCAGCTGCTGGTTCTTTCCGATCCGTATCTGGCGTATACTTTGATGCAGTTTTATCTGTAAGATCAAGTTTAGGTAAAGAAGGTAGAATAATGAAAATACAGTTTGTGCGGTGGGTGTCCAGACGGTCCGTCGCTGGATGGGTAGCCGCACGATCGGCACCATTTGTACCACCGGTGACGGCACGCCATGCCACGGTGCGAACGGTGGTTGGCTGGTGCCACCCCGGGAAAAGACACTCTCTGTCTCCCACACAGCACACACAACACACACAGTGTGTGTCAACCTGTCGACGTCGACGTCTACATCTGCATCCCGCGGCGGACCCGTTGCTCGGCCGATCGCTCAGCCGCGCACTCTCATTCGACGTTTGGTTTCTCTCTCTGCCTCTCTTTCCGGATAAGTGGTGCGTGTGTTTTTTTTGTTTTTTAACACACTTTCATCGTGTACTCGTGGTCGGGTATGGGTCAACCGCCCGATGTGCACTGTACTGTTGCCTGGATATAAGGACTTACCGGCACCAGAGGAACCGGATGGAACTGTAGCGGAAGGGTCAATAGTTGGGGATATTCCCACAGATACTTTTGTGTTAGGTACACCCCCGAACACAACCCAGGTACCCGTTCTGTTTTCATCAGGGTCATCCGGTGCGTCCTTTTGTCTGGTGTCTTCCAGTTCTGCCTTATTTAAGCATTCAATAATTTGCTCTTGTTTCCCATTCTGTAGCCTATTACAATCGTCCACACTCTTGGGAGATTTGTCATGGGCACTCTTCTTGTCTGTATGTATCGTTGTAATCTTACCTGATACATGCTTAGCTGCCTGATCCGTAGAAGTTTCTTGCGTCTTGTTCTCTGTTCCATCTCCCCCTGTCGCTGATCCGTCCTGTGGTGGTGGTGGAGGTGGTGCCGGTGGTGATGCTCGTAATACTGGAGATGCAGGTGCTTGTGGTTGAGATTCTGTCGGTGATGACGCTGACCCTGGAGCGGACCTCTCTGGTGATGGTGCTGCACGTACTGAGGGTGCCGCGGGGGTTGGTGATTTTTCTCCCGTATTCTTGTGGTCACCGTTTTTCTCTCCTGTGTTCTGTACTTTCGTCTCATCATTCTTGTCGTTATTCGTGCCTGCTGACTTTTTGTCCTTGGTCTTAGCTACAATAAGAAAGAAAAACGACAAAATGATACAAAACAGGACACAAGTGGTAGACAGAAAGAAGGGGCCGGGACGGTGTGGCCAGGTATCGGCAGGGTGGGGGTCCGGCTGCATGGGTCGATTGCATGGGTCGATTGCATGGATCGATGCATGGGCCGATGCAGTGGATCGAGATGGACTGCGGTGGACTGGGTCAGGCGACCGCAAGCGCACGGCGAGGTGGACTGGGTGTACTCGGTGAACTTGGGCTAGATGGTAGCAGTACAACTTTTATGTGTCGCCGTCCCGCTCCATCCGTCGCGCTCCGCAACCGCTACCACTGCCGTCGTCGCCGCGTGTGCGTTGTTGTTGTGGTATCGTTTCGTTTTTGGCGGTATCTATATGCGCCCTTATGCGGCCGTGTTCGTATTCGTGCTTTGTCCCCATCGGTCCTTACCTGTCGGTACGTTTGGTGATGGTGTGGTCGCCGCCTGGGTGGTGGCAGCCTCCGCGTTTTTGCCTTCGTGCGCTGCATTAAATGAACAAATAGGAATTACAAGGGTTAGTATGTACTTTTTATATTATTCGAAGCATACAGAAACGAGCGTTGTTCACATATCTGCATGTTGTTCCCCTTGGCTCTTTCCCTTGTACCTCGAAACTGTCTGTAGTTGTCAGCTCTGTACTTATCCGTTCTGCTATGTTCGAAGCTGTCTCATTCGACCGGAACATGCCATGCCTTACCTAAGTTCTGCTTCTTCGCCTGTTCCCTCTGTTCTATGTCTTTCTCTACCTGTTGCTTAATTTCTTTAAATACTTCCCCCAGTCCTGACTTCAACTCGCCGACTATCTCAACAATCTGCGACCGTTCCGTATCCTCTGTATTCTCATGCCTCAGGAAATTGTCTAGCGTCCAGCCCCTCTTCCGCTCTCTTCCGCAAGCTTCAGTTCCCTGGACTTTTTTAATTGCGCTCTTGAGTGTTGGATTCTTTGTTAACCATGCTGCGACTTGTTTATTTAAGTCAAGTTCTCTTATTTTCAAATGCGCAAATGTCTCTTTAGCACACGTCCTATTCTGTATCAAGGCGCTCGAAACACCCCCTGTCCCCGCTGTTTCTGCCATTATGTGCCATGCATAAAATGTTCCCCATTCACTTTTACACACGGTTGCGTTTAATACTTCGCTGAACATATGTACTATTATACATCGTAAGTGGTCCCTTATGCGTTCACTGTTGTCATCTTCCGGCGTTCGAGGCATTTGTGCAATAGTCCACCCATTCATGAAATATAATGCCCCTACCATAAGTACGCATACAATGATGTCCCCCACCTTTTGTCCATAGATCGGAGGGTCTTTGAGGTAATTGGGGTGCTTCCATGCTGCGTTACCACAGGGCGTGGCATACGCTATTATATCCTCAGTGTCCATGTAGTCCACAAATTTCGTCATGACCTCTTTAGTCTTGGCCCACACCATTTCCTATAATGTAAGAGAAACACAGGAAATATATGCATGCGCATGTGTACTTGAATGTTATGTGCCACGATGTGCTTCCTTCTCTCGTGTAACAATAAAAGCCTGGCACTGAACGCCCCGTTGTGCTCTTCTATTCCTGTATGCTCCTACCTCATACTGGTGCTGATCGGAAATGCCCGCGGCGAGTACCCATTGCGCCAATTCATGAGCCAAATTTACCGATCCCATGTTACTACTATTCACTTAAATATACGGCACCCTTAGAAATACTCATACATTACTATTATTCGTATGTTTGTTATAGTGCATGAATTCGCTGTGGCTTCCACTTTTAGTCGATAATGCTGCTTTTGTTCTTCACTGCTGCGCAAGTAGCAATCAAATGTTCGATAAAACGAGCAAAAGTTAAGCACATAAAGGTAGCAGGCAGCATGGACCAAAACCAAAAATGTGCATAGGAATTGCAAATAGAGGGCACAGGGAAGAAACAGAAAAGAAAACAAAAGAAAAAAACAACAGAAAGAAAGGAAAAAACAGGAAAAAGTACACTACACACAACGCGTCACGAATACACCCCTTAAAAACAACACCCGTTCTGCACTAAACGCCTTGACACACACTGTCTCTCTGTGTGCGTACACCTAAAACGAACAACAACAGCAATGTCTGCTGCCGGCGTTGCTGCCGTCCTTACCGTTGTTGCCGTGTGCGTCAAGGCCTGTCCATCAAGTGCTCTTGCGTCAACGCTCTCTCCGTCAACGCTCTCTCCGTCAACGTCTTCTCCGGGTCACCGCCTCTTCCGTCAACGCCTCTCCCGTCAACGCCTCTGCCTTCAACGCTTCTCTCCGTCAACGCTTCTCTGTCAACGCCTCTCGGTCACACCGTCTCCGTCACACCGTTCTACGTCACCCCGTCTCAGTCAACGCTTCTCTGTCACGCTTCGGTGCGCAGTTCTGGAAGTCGTCATAAACAGACAAAATACTTGCTTTCTTCCGCATGCCTCCATCCGCCGGCCGCTTTCCTGCCTTCGTTGTAAAAGAAGAAGGGAAAAAAAACGTACTACTACCGCTACCTACGCACACAACGCGTCATGAATATACACCCCCCGCCTTCTTCTCCACTAAACGCCTTGACACACTGTCTCTCTGTGCGTACACAAAAAAACCGCAGTAAGAACAACAACATCAATTTCTTCTGCCGTCGTTGTTGCTCGCCCACACAAAATGTGTATTCCTTCCGCGGCCTCGCGCTCTGTGCTCCCTCTCTCTGCTCAGTCACTCGATCCTGCCCTCGAAACCCTTACTCGGCTACGTCGTCGAACCGCTTCACTCGGAGACAATCTCTTCCTTCTTACACTCGGACCGACCCGTTGCTCGGAGACAATCCAGTGTACAAGGACGAGGTGAGGGAGACGTGGGAGAGAAGCCGTAGAGGCGCCCGGCAGCAG